GTGTTGGTGTAAGACGACGCGGTGGCCTGTGCGTTCCCCAAGTGGCGACTTGCTCTGGCCAAATTGAGCCTCAGCACAAAATATGGATTGGGCAAGTCGTTGCACTTCTTTATAGACTGGGGATCCGTGAACCATGACTCAAGTAATTATCGGTTCACCCGATTGTCACCTCCTGTTGGAATGTCGGGCTTTTCGCAATTTCTTTAAAGTTTTCTTCTCTGGGAACCTTAGAAAGTCGTTCCTCCAGTTTCAAGCAAGGATGGCAAACTGGAATGGAATCACACACGGCGTACTTTTGAAACCCTACCAAAAATTCCTCGAAATAGCTTTAAATTTAATAGCTTACTTGGGGAGTTGCAAAGTATATTAGCATAAAACCTACTCCAAAATCTTTTCCAAATATTAGCATTTTGACATGAGTGCAGTTACCTGTACTCGTTGCACGTAGAAGACGTTTTGATGGCTATGTGAATTTGAACACAGATCCTACACGCCTCTACAAGAAATTCATTTCGCATACTCGGCAGTGCCTAGTTCGAAGCATCCCTGTATTTCAAATGTTAGGGGGCTAAACTCCGAAGGGGTTTGGGCTAAGGCTAGTAGAATTAACTTTAGGAAAGGTTTGGAAGGTTAATTTTAAGGCTGAAGTTAGAATACGGATATATGTACCCCCTGTGATTTAGCAAGAAGTCACATGTAGTACGGGAACGTTTATTGCCGTGTCCGAACAGCATACTTATTTCGTGGGAGATTGCGGTTTCTTATAATTTTGTAAATCAAGGAGGGAATATTTTCGTTTATAAATAGAGTGGAGCCTCGGGGGACGAGCAGTTCCTAATCTACGAGCATTTAAGGTAACGAGCGAGCCACTCGCAGAAAATTTGCTTCGATGGACGAGCTTCCGCTCAGTTAACGAGCTGTCAGTGTGTGTATGTGCCTGTGTCCGCCATTGGGTCTTGCTTCCAGGGCGTTGGTCTTCGATCGTCTGCAGCCAGTCCCTGAACTGATGCCGTTTAATTGGCCACATTTCGTAAGACGAGCGTTTCACATGGCAAGCTTGGTGCTGGAATAGATTAAACTTGTTAACCGAGGTTCCACTGTAGCTTGTAATCATGAGGGTTGCTGATATTATTATTGACCTTCCACGCCTACAGCATGCTCCAACACGCATAGCAGAAACAGGAACACGATTTAAACCTGGAAGGAATGGTAAGCCGCTTTCTTGGAAGTGTCGATCCTCGGAGTATTCCACATTCCAGTTATTGCTCTGAGGTTATTCACGCTGGTCTCAAACTCTACAAAAACCACGCGAGAGCATTCCATAACTTCACAATGTACTTGTTCATCCATGTAACGGCAGGGACGGTACAGAAAAGAAACGATTGTGCTCCTTTATTTTATTGTAAAATATCACATAAGTGTTTTGTCAATTCGACTGGCCAGATGCATCATGGCAAGCTAACTGATGTATATTAGATGTGGTATTTCGAGACCTGTTAGTTGAAATTATGAAATGAGTTTTCCATCCGAAATGTTTTTGAAATTACGGTTGCCATATTAGTGTCGTGCAGCATAATGCGAAGGTTTCTCGGTCACGGCAGGATGCCAGCTTTTGAGCGAGTTTCCTCCTGGTCACCTGCAAAACCGTGCTTCGTAAAAATGACTACTCAAGTAGTATACATTCTCTCCGTTTACTTTCGATTTCCATATAGATTCTAATATATTTTACAAAAATCATGGACGAAACAATCCTTTCTTGTATTCGCTTGGTGACCAAGTAAGTCTTCATCAAATGCTGTACTTGAAGAAAGACTACCTTCCGGTTTTAAAAACCTTTCCCAATTCCCGAATAATTTTTAACCCGAGCCACATTTACGTTTGCATTCAGGGTTTCCAAACCCCAAACTGTATACACTCCGTCTACGAAAAATCACACATTCATTCTATGCTATTAGAAGGACGCCATAAAATACTCATAAAATGTTGCAATGCATGTGACCCAGGTTTTGTACCTTACAAGCAGTATCGGTAAATGTAAAACTGAGATGCTTTATGAATAGATACTTAAAAATTTTAAACATCTCACAACCAGAAACGTTTTTGAAAACACAAGACACTATTTTTCAAAAATAAAATTTTAGGAAGACGTAATTCGCTACTAAATGAATACAATAAGGAATATTTCCGTG